CGAGTCCCGTGTGCCCCTTTGCTTTGCGCGCATCTTCCCAGGCCGTGCGCTGCGGCCCGGCGCGGGTGAACTCCGCCCTGCCAGTGTGTGACGGGCGCGCAGTGTAACGGAGCCGGCATGCGCGCTTGCCAAATGCACAGTCATTACAAACGTCCTTCCTCCCACCACGTGTCGCTGATTGTCGGTCTATTCCCACCCGCGCTTCGGAACACCTCTGCAGCTACAGCGCAAGCCCTTCCTGCTGGCGACTGTCTCTTGGCCTTGGGCTGTAACGCTTTGGGGTGCCATAAAACAAACGAGGAACGTGATGTGCAGGCCCTAGCTGAGTGGGTGTTGTGGTTGGGAAGCGCTGTGCGGCTCGGGTACAGGCGAGGGGCGCAGTCCGCCGGCTGTGTACCATGTCCCTGCTTTGCTGTATGGAATAGAAGGGAAGGGCATTCCCGAGATATTAAGGCACTGCTAGGTCTGGGGGTACCTGCAGCCCCAAGGAACCGGCTCACCAATTGCGGCTAGTGTGACCCACGCCCTAGGACACCCGACCTCCTCCCCCGACACCCAAGCAGACCGTGCGGCCTGGCGGGGCTGTAACCGCAGGGCTCAGCTGGAGCAGTCAGGCTGTGCTCGGGGACTCAGACGCAGCAGCAGGGGCAGCCTGTTTCCAGTGAATTTGCAACGTCCCTTTGACCCATGACTCCTAGCCCAAGGTCCACATGGCGGAGGCAGCTCAGCATGTTCTGTGGCCAGCGGCAGATAGGGACCGGATCGGGCCCCGGTTGGAAGTCTCTCTTGCTTCGTTGCATGGTGGTAGCTGACTTCTCGCCCTCCGCTTCCGTCGCTCGCCCATGTGTTTCCTTTCCCCTCCACCCCCAAAGCACCGGTAGGGTTGCCAGGTGTCTGGTTTTTGCCCAGACTGTCTGTTATTTGGGCCCCCGTCCGGTTAAAACAAATGGCCGGTATTCCCTGTTTCCCTTGGACTGAAGCTCGGCAGGGACAATTTTCCCCTGCCGCATCTGGCAGGGGAGTAAGGAGCATGGGGTCGTTTAAAGGCGCAGTGCCCTTTTTTTTTTTTTTTGCTGAACAACTTTGGTCTCCCCCTTGTTTTTTCTCAACGGAATTTTTTCCCGGTGTTTTTTTTTTGGGGGGGGGGGGGAGATGTTTGGTATTTTTTTAAACCATCTGGCAATCCTAAGCGCCAGGCCCCAGCTTTGCTAGTCAGGGCCCTCCTACAGCGAGGCGTCCCTCTCCCCCCGAGGCTGCAGAGTCGCCCCCACATGGGAGCCGGGACCGTGGAGAGGAGCCAATGCCTAAGTCAGGGCTCTCGCTGGCAGTGTCTCAGAGGGGCGGCCCCCCAGGCAGGGCGGCAGCGGTGCCGGACCCCAGGTGGGCTCAGGGGCAGGGAAGCTTGAGGGCCCCGTGGGGACTCGACTGTCCCGCTCGCACCCACAGGAAGGCACGAGCTGCTGACTTAGCAGCGGGTGTCGGCAGCAGCTGCGGGCCGCTCTGCAGTGTCCTTGCCGAGGGAAACGCTTCTTTCCCTTGCAACAGGAAGCCGTCCTGGGAGCGATCAGTGAATCCAGCCCGGCTGCATCGCCCAGCGGGTTACCAGAGCATTGAATCGTCTCCTGGCGGGAGGGTTTGGGGAGAGCAGACGACAGCCCCAGCCATCAGTGGTAGCAAAGGGAGGAACATCAAATGGGACAAACAAGGCACATCTGCTCAGACTTAATCAGCTTCGTTAACACGGGTCCGACAATTGACCAGTAGCTTCTTTTGCTCTTATCTACTCTCCGGATTCTGTCAGTTTCACGCCGATGCCTCTGATGACGTGGGCTTTAACCACCAAAGTTCATGCCTTGATACATTTGTGGGTGCCACCGGATTGCATGTCCTTTTGAAAGGGAAGCAGGGCTTAGCAAGGGTTGATTTCGGCCCATGGATTAGACAATTCTTCCCTGCCCGGGCTCCTGGGTGCCAGTTCGAGTGAGGAACCGTGCACTGCTGCGGCTGCCATGGGTGCTTTTATGGAACCGTGCGGTAGGCCAAGGGAGTGCCGATACCTAGCCGACGTAGAAGATCCGTTCCAGGAGTTGTGGTATTTATCACTGCGCAGGGAAACGTCCGCCAAGCTTTCTCCGTGGGGGCCTGAGCAGAGCTGTTCTGGGGGACAGGAATACTCCTGGCACAGCCTGCCTTGTGCTATGCAACTACCTCACTTTGGGAGCTTAGGCAAATCACTTTGCCACGCTGTACCTCAGTTTGCCCATCTACGAAATGGGGAGATGCTTTATCTGGCTGGGGGCTGAGAGGTTTAACTGTTGATGGTTTCAGATGGGCTCGGCTGTTCTCTCCTGAAAGGCGTTTTACCGTGTCAAGGTATCAGGAGTCTCTGAGCTCGGACCTTCCCTTCAGCCTGACTCAGTGACCCTAGCTGAGCTAGCTGCATTGCTGTTTCTGAGAGCTGGAATCATTGCTCCCAAGGCAACTCAGCTCCATTGTGGGACCTCAGCGGGGGTCGAGCAGGAGTTACCCCCAAGCTCGGGGGCGTGTCCTGAGATGTGGTTTGGCTCCGCCTGTAAAACGGAATTGTTGCTGGAGCATTGTGCTCCGCCGGTTCCCTTCCTCCCCTCCCCCCCCGCCCCCCGAGAAGCCCTGCCGGTGTCACCTGCCTTGCTCGACCCCGTGCAGCGGAGATACAGCTGCACCCTCGTGGGGGGTCCCGGAGACAAGGAGCCTGTCGTGATAGGCCTGGGTTGGCCCAGGTTGGACCCAGTGGCTAGTGCTGCTCAGTGGCTCAGGAGGGTGTCCCCCGACACAGGGGAGGGCTGTGGTTTCCCGGGTGGCGCTTGTCAGGTTATGGGGTCAGCTGCCCCTCTGGTGTCTGAGACCCGGCCGGTGTCTGGCCTCGGGCCTCCCTGTCTTCTGGGCTGGCATCGGGTGACTGTCCCATCCCTGAGCTGCTGTGCCAGGCTTGCCCAGCAGGTCTGCCTGTGTCCAGACCCGGCCAGCCCTTCCCTTCAGGCGCCTGTGACCATGGGAGCGGGGAGGTGGCATGGACCACGGCATGGACAGAGTGTGTAGGGCAGGGCCGTAAAGGGTTAAACGGTGACCCACTTCCTCGGTAGCTCTTAGCCTTGCCAGCATGCTTACTGGGGAACCGGTTCACTGGAGGGCCCGGCTGGCAAGAGCCGCCCCGCCGCGCCCACGGCAGCCCGGTGGGGCCAGAGCAGCCCACGGCCGGTGACTAACCAGTTCACACGAGGCGCTGAAGTGGTTAATCAGCTGAGCCGGTTTTTACATCCCTAGTTTAGAGACCAGGACCCTAAAACAACAAGCCCCCCCCATGCACGTCTGTCCTGCCTCCAGGCCTCCCTGCGGATCACCCCGCACTCAGCTTCTTCTGGCCTGCCAGGCGGTGTCTGTGCCAGCCTGTTCCCAATACGCTCCCCAGCAAGGCCCCCAGGGAGAGAGACCATGTGTGTCCAGAAGAAGCCATGGCAGACTAGCTATTGGGCCCACAAGGTCCAGGCCCGGGACCCTGGCCAACAGGGTGCCCCAGCAGGCAGGGTGAGGGCAGACCCCATGGCCCTGGCCCTGTCAGAAGCTGTGGGACAGGGGAAAGTGGAAGCTGTGGGCTGGGGAAAGCCCCCCAGCGCCCCTCTCACCCTGCCTCAGCAAATGCTGCTGGATGGGAGCCCCCCCAGTGGCCCTCCAGCCCAGTCTCCAGCAGAATAAGCCCCCAGTGCCTCGACCCCGACCCTGAAGAAGCCCCAGGGAAGCCCATGTGCCCAACTCTGCTCTCCAGAGAAGCCCTGGGGGGTGGGGCAAGAGAAGCCATAGCCCTGCGTCCCCACAGGAGCATGGTGTGACGTAGCGGGGGGGCGTCTGCTCTGTGACCCGGTGCCCCCCTGCGCTGGGCTGTGTGATTCCCACTGACTCACCCACACTCAGTGACGTAGTGTCAGGTCCTTGCTGGTCGCTGTGCTTGGGCTGTGGGCTGTGACTGACCCCTACTGGCCAATGTCTGTGAGCACTGCCCAGCAGGTGGGCTGCCTAGGTCCTGTGGACAAAGACCCAACCGGTCAGACCGGTTGAGGGCAGCGAGGGAACTAAGCAAGCGAGTGGGTGGGGGAAGGGGCAGTTGCTGGCTGGAAGACATGAAGGGAACAACCTAACTGGAGGACTGAGGGTCTAAAGGGGAAGGGGGGGCAGTGGACCCCCTAACCTCAGGGGTCTGAGGCAGCCTGGCCTTGACTCCTGTAACCACATCCCGTCTGTGCTGGGCTGTATCCTGGAGAAGCAATAAATGCTCTATTCTACTGGCTGGAGGAGCCTGTTCGTGCTGCTACGGGGCTGCAGGATCAGGGAGACCCCGACATGATGCCACACATGGGGCTGGCGGGGGGAGCCCCAGCTTACAGGTCCCCACTGTGGCCCTGCGACTGGGGATTCCCTCGGTGCCCTGGGGCCGGGGCATCGGGACAGAGCTTCTCCAGCCTTGGGGCCAGCATGGAGGGGGCAGAAAGGTGCACGCGGGTTGTGGGATGGGGGACTTGGGGGAGGAGCCTGGGTGGACAATGGATGGGGTCCTAGGGAAGGGGAGGGTGGTGTGGGAGGGGCTGCAGGCAGATGGGGTGGGCCGGGCCCCCCTCTTGTTCTAGCCGTGGGCCCCAGGGAAACTTAATCGGCTTCTGAGCAGAGACCCCTGCACCTCTCAGGTCCTCGGTCCAGGAGATCAGGCCAGAACCCGCAGAGGCAGGGCTCAGCCATTGTCCTGTAACAACCCTCAAGTGTTTACCGCGGGGTGGCTGCGTCTGTTGTTCCCTTGTGGCTCTAACCCACTGGGGTTGTACAGGGAACAGCCCAATCCCCCGGTCAAGGCCTGGGACTATATATCATTTCAGGGCACGTGGGGTCTCTCCGGGGGTGAGGCCGCCTGGGTGCGTAGCCGGCTCTCGGATGTTTTTTGTCTGTCTCGCCCCTAACTTCTGCTTTTGTCCTTTCAGAGCTGAGAAGACAGAAGTGCTGAGTGAAGATCTCTTGCAGGTAAATTGCCTCTTTCCTCACAGCTGGCAACCACAGTCCAAGAGCGGCCTCCGGGGGGGGGAGGGGGGTCTAGATTTCAGTGCGCCGAGAGAGGCAAGCTGGGCTAGTGGTCAGGGTGTTGGCCTAGAACTCGGGAGGGAGGCCTGGATTCAAGTCCACAGGTGTGGACAGACCCCGGGGTGGTCCTGTGCGAGTGATTTCGTCTTTCTGGGACAAACCCCTCACTCACCAGCACGAGGGTCATTCGCTCCCCACTCCGGAGCTGACTTTAGGGGAGCTCGGCTGGAGGATGGCGCATCCCTCTGCAGTGCATGCTGGGTGGAAGACTGCTCCTTTGGCTGTCTCCCTGCCCGGGCACACAGCATCTGCTGTTGAGGGTGACGTCAGCTGCCATCCAGTCAGAGCATGGACGGCTTCCAGGAGCCAGGAACCGGCCCCCCCGTCCCATGTGCAGCTGCGCTTGTTGCCTTTCTGCACACACCGGGTGGAACAGGCTGCCTGCCGTTCGGCCGGGGGCTCGTGGGCCTGGCGCAGTTGGCAGACGTGGGTTTTGTCTCCCGTTCAAAGAGGAGGGAGGGTTTTCCAAGGCGCTCGCGGCTGGCCGAACTCTGCTCAACTGTGGGTCAGCGGTGCCCTTGGCACCAGGAGTCAAGTGAGCCCGGCTCTCGAGCGCTTTGAACAGACCCTGGGTAGGCATGGCGTGAACCTGAGGCTGGGGTCGCGAGGCTCAAGATGTCTCTGAGGTTCACGTGCTATTAATAAAGTGAGAGATAACGCCAGGCCGCTCCCTGCGTTAGGAGTTTGGTTGGACGCGTGTTCTGGTTACCAGGAGCAGAGGGGACACACCCGACCCTAGTGCGTTCCAACAGGGTGTGTCTTGATGTACGTAACAGCGCTACTTGGCGTGCTCCCTGCGACGCGTGTGCCAGGGCCCCCCCGTCCAGCGCAGGTAACTGTAGATCACTGTTTCTCAACCTTTTTTTTTATAAAAAAGAAAATTAGAAGTACCCCTAGTACCTACAGTTTTGAGACACACACAGTTTGTTTCTACCATGGCAACACATTTGTTTAAACAACTTCAACAACTTAATTGGAGCTGGGCAGGAGATGAAAGTGTTGGGTATAAAAAGTACAAAAATAATAAAGTGCTGTAAAACTTACAACAAAAATTCCGTTTTCTCCAAATTTCAGTTGTGTTGACGTACCCACTAGCCTTCTCTCGAGCACCCCTGAGGGTAATAGTACTGCTGGTTGAGAAACACTGCTGTAGATTGCACTGAAACGTGAAGTTGTATTTTTGTGTCAGCAGCAACATTCCTGCCTGCAGGGTGCCATTCCGCCTGCTGTCCCCAGTGTAGAGAGGGAGGGAGGGGGATTCCCAAATCATGGGTCAGAATCTCATTGTGCAAGGTGCTGTACAAACCCAATAGAGATGATTCCTGTCCTAAAGAGTTCACAGTCACCGGGATTAAATTCCCTGGCTTTCATGTCACCTCTAATCGTATGTGAGCGTTTGAACCACGTTCATACACCGCTCTCTTGTCTGACAAGAAACATCTGCACAGGAAGTTGGACCCTTGAGAAACAGTGATGCCACTTGTCTACACGTGTTCTGGTAGTTACCAGGAAAAGAAACAGATAATGTCACGGGAATTTCTTTGGAACAGTTTGAAGTGTTTTTTCCAAACTTTCCGGAAGACGCCGTCACTTCCTCCTCCTATTGCACAGCCATGCACAGCCACGTGCAGCCATGCACAGCCATGTGCAGCCATGCACAGACACGCGTTGCCACACACAGACATGCGCCACCACATGCAGCCACACACAGACATGTGCTGCCACGTGCAGACACATGCAGCCATGCGCAGCCACACACAGCCACACACAGACATGCGCCACCACGCACAGACACGCACAGCCACACACAGACATGCGCCGCCACGTGCAGCCATGCACAGCCACACACAGCCACATGCAGCCAGGCACATACAAGCAGACACGCGCAGCCACAAGCAGACACGCGCAGCCACAAGCAGCCAGGCACACACATGCAGACACAGACAGCCACGCACAGACACACGCAGCCATGGACAGCCACACGCAGCCATACATGGACACATGTCACCATGTGCAGCGATGTGCAGACACACACAGCCATGGATAGCCATGCGCAGCCAGAGCCAGGCACAGCCACGGACAGCCATGTGCAGCCATGCACAGACACACACAGCCACGGACAGACACACGCAACCACATGCAGCCAGGCACAGCCAGGTGCAGCCAGCCGTCTCGGTTTGTCGGGATGCGGCAGTAGACAAGTGCAAAGGGGAAGTGACACAATATGCGCCCCTTAGCACGCGGGTGCACTGGCCTGTGTCGTCTGGGGCGATTGCTGAGTGATGGCCTGAGCCCCATGGGCCTGACATCAATTCCTCCAGGGAAGAAGCCGGGGCATGAACGTCCCTGCAGAACTCACGGCGGCGTCCTTTGCTCGGGGTAGCACCATGGTGTCAGGTGAGCAGCAAAACTGAGCCCTGGGCCTGGGATGTTTCCCGGCGGTTTGGAGAAATCCAGCCTAGACTCAGAGAACCGCAGGGCGGGCAGAGCCCTCCGGGGGCATCCAGTCCAGCCCCCTGCCCAAGGCAGGGCCAACCCAACTCAACCAGCCCAGCCAGGGCTCTGTCCAGCCGGGACTTAAACACCCCTAGGGATGGAGATTCCACCCCCTCCCTAGGGAACCCATCCCAGTGCGTCCCCACCCTCCTAGGGAAATAGTTTTTCCTAATATCCCACTTAGACCTCCCCCACTGAGATCGTTGCCCCTCGTTCTACCATCGGTCACCACTGAGAACAGCCTCTCTCCATCCTCTTTGGAACTTCTCATAACATGCTCTTCGATAGCCTGGTGACTGCTAAAATAAACCTCCCTTTTGCCACACTCTTAGTATAATCATTTTGGACACTGCTTCAGGGTGGTTTTTTTTTCCCCCTAGCCACTCCAGAAATCTGCTTTTTTTGCTGGATCATTCCCTTCAGGGTATAAAAAATCAGTAAGGTACTTTTCAAGACTCTGGCTTCATGCCACCTACTGGTAGAGCTTGAAGGAATGTCCCTTTGATGGCTGCACAGACTTTACCCGAAGAACTTTTCTTTATGCACCCTCTCCACGCCACTCATGCTTTTCATAGAATCATAGAATAATAGGACTGGAAGGGACCTCAAGAGGTCATCGAGTCCAGCCCCCCGCCCTCAAGGCAGGATCAAGCTCTGTCTACACCATCCCTGACAGATGTCTATCTAACCTGTTCTTAAATATCTCCAGAGAGGGAGATTCCACCACCTCCCTTGGCAATTTATTCCAATATTTGACCACCCTGACAGTTAGGAATTTTTTCCTAATGTCCAATCTAAACCTCCCCTGCTGCACTTTAAGCCCATTACTCCTTGTCCTGTCCTCAGAAACCAAGAGGAACAAATTTTCTCCTTCCTCCTTGTGACACCCTTTTAGATATTTGAAAACCGCTATCATGTCCCCCCTTAATCTTCTTTTTTCCAAACTAAACAAGCCCAGTTCATGAAGCCTGGCTTCATAGGTCATGTTCTCTAAACCTTTAATCATTCTTGTTGCTCTTCTCTGTACCCTTTCCAATTTCTCCACATCTTTCTTGAAATGTGGCGCCCAGAACTGGACACAGTACTCCAGCTGAGGCCTAACTAGTGCAGAGTAGAGCGGCAGAATGACTTCACGAGTTTTGCTTACAACACACCTGTTGATACAACCTAGAATCATATTTGCTTTTTTTGCAACAGCATCACACTGTTGACTCATATTCAACTTGTGGTCCACTATGACCCCTAGATCCCTTTCTGCCATGCTCCTTCCTAGACAGTCGCTTCCCATCTTGTATGTATGGAACTGATTGTTCCTTCCTAAGTGGAGCACTTTGCATTTCTCTTTATTAAACCTCATCCTGTTTACCTCTGACCATTTCTCTAACTTGCTAAGGTCATTTTGAATTATGTCCCTATCCTCCAAAGAAGTTGCAACCCCACCCAGTTTGGTATCATCTGCAAACTTAATAAGCGTACTCTCTATCCCAATATCTACATCATTGATGAAGATGTTGAACAGTATGGGTCCCAAAACAGACCCTTGAGGAACTCCACTTGTTATCCCTTTCCAGCAGGATTTAGAACCGTTAACAACAACTCTCTGACTACGGTTATCCAGCCAATTATGCACCCACCTTATCGTGGCCCTATCTAAGTTATATTTGCCTAGTTTATCAATAAGAATATCATGCGAGACCGTATCAAATGCCTTACTAAAGTCTAGGTATATGACATCCACCGCTTCTCCCTTATCCACAAGGCTCGTTATCTTATCAAAGAAAGCTATCAGATTAGTTTGGCATGACTTGTTCTTCACAAACCCATGCTGGCTATTCCCTATCACTTTATTACCTTCCAAGTGTTTGCATATGATTTCCTTAATTACCTGCTCCATTATCTTCCCTGGGACAGACGTTAAACTGACCGGTCTGTAGTTTCCTGGGTTGTTCTTATTCCCCTTTTTATAGATGGGCACAATATTTGCCCTTTTCCAGTCTTCTGGAATCTCCCCTGTCTGCCATGATTTTTCAAAGATCATAGCTAAAGGCTCAGATACCTCCTCTATCAGCTCCTTGAGTATCCTGGGATGCATTTCATCAGGACCTGGTGACTTGCTGACATCTAACTTTCCTAAGTGATTTTTAACTTGTTCTTTGTGTATCCTATCTTCTAAACTTACCCTCTCTCTGCTTGTATTCACTACGTTAGGCACACCTCCAGACTTCTCGGTGAAGACCGAAACAAAGAAGTCATTGAGCATCTCCGCCATTTCCAAGTTCCCTGTTACTGCTTCTCCCTCCTCGCTAAGCAGTGGGCCTACCCTGTCCTTGGTCTTCCTCTTGCTTTTAATGTATTTATAAAAGGTCTTCTTGTTTCCCTTTATGCCTGTAGCTAGTTTGATCTCATTTTGTGCCTTTGCCTTTCTAATCTTGCCCCTGCATTCCCGTGTTGCTTGCCTATATTCATCCTTTGTTAGTTGTCCTAGTTTCCATTTTTTATATGACTCCTTTTTTATTTTGAGATCATGCAAGATCTCCTTGTTAAGCCAAGCTGGTCTTTTGCCATATTTTCTATCTTTCCTACACAGCGGAATTGTTTGCTTTTGGGCCCTTAACAACGTCCCTTTGAAATACTTCCAACTCTCCTCAGTTGTTTTTCCCTTCAGTCTTGCTTCCCATGGGACCTTACCTACAAGTTCTCTGAGCTTATCAAAATCTGCCTTCCTGAAATCCATTACCTCAATTGTGCTGGTCTCCCTTCTACCTTTCCTTAAGATCATGAACTCTATTATTTCGTGATCACTGTCCCCTATACTGTCTTCCACTTTCAAGTTCTCAACTAGTTCCTCCCTATTTGTTAAAACCAAATCCAGAACAGCTTCTCCTCTGGTAGCTTTTTCAACCTTCTGAAACAGAAAGTTGTCTCCAATGCAGTCCAGAAACTTATTGGATAGCCTGTGCCTCGCTGTGTTAGTTTCCCAACATATGTCTGGATAGTTGAAGTCCCCCATCACCACCAAATCTTGGGCTTTGGATAGTTTTGTTAATTGTTTAAAAAAGGCCTCATCCACCTCTTCCACCTGGCTAGGTGGCCTGTAGTAGACTCCTAGCATGATATCACCCTCGTTTTTTACCCCTTTTAGCTTAACCCAGAGACTCTCTACACAGCTATCTCCTACGTTCATCTCCACTTCAGTCCAAGTGTGTACATTTTTAATATACAAGGCAACCCCTCCTCCCTTTTTTCCTTGTCTGTCCTTCCTGAGCAAGCCGTACCCTTCCATACCAACATTCCAATCATGTGTCCCATCCCACCAGGTTTCTGTAATACCAATGATATCATAGTTGTATTTATTGGTTAGCAATTCCAGTTCTTCCTGCTTATTACCCATACTTCTCGCATTTGTATATAGGCATCTAAGATACTGATTTGATCTTGCCTCCCTGTTGTGCCCTGACCCTCCTTTCTCCTTGCCATTATAGGCCGTAGTCCCCCCCATTTCCAACCCATCTCCCAGTCCCGCACATTCAGCACTTACCTGTGGGCTTTGCTCACCTGCCCCCGACAAACCTAGTTTAAAGCCCTCCTCACAAGGTTAGCCAGTCTGTGTCCAAACAAGGCCTTCCCGCTCCTGGAAAGGTGAACTCCATCTCCGCCAAGCAGTCCTTCCTGGAAGAGCACCCCGTGATCAAGGAAGCCGAATCCCTCCTGGCGACACCATCGTCGCAGCCAGGCATTCACCTCCAGGATGCACCTCTCTCTGCCCGGGCCCCTACCTTTGACAGGAAGGATAGAAGAGAATACCACCTGCGCTCCAAACTCCTTCACCCGTACTCCCAAAGCCCTGTAGTCACACTTGATCCGCTCAGTGTCACACCTGGCAGTATCATTTGTGCCCACGTGGATGAGTAGCATGGGGTAGTAGTCAGAGGGCCGGATAATCCTCGACAATGCCTCCGTAACATCTCGGATACGGGCCCCTGGCAGACAGCATATGCCATTAGCACCCCCATATGCCATTAGCCTTCTTGGCTACGTTGTGTCATGTCCAGCTTCTCATCCACTGCAATCCCCAGGGCCTTTTCTGCCCAACTGCTGCGTAGCCAGTCGGTCCCCAGCCTGTAGCAGGGCTTGCGATTCCTCCGTCCCAAGGGCAGGACTCTGCACTTGTCCTTGGTGAACGTGCTCTCACTTTCCCCTTTTGCAGCCCATCTCCTCTCCGGCTCTGTCCGGTCCCTGCCCAGTCTGTAACCGGTCCCTTGAGCGTGGTGGTGTCCTTGTGCCAGATCCCAGGGGCCGCTCCGTTCCAATGGGGCCACCCCAAAAGTGGGTCTTGGGGTGCGAGCCTGCCCTGCGAGTACCCAGGGCTCCCTGCAGCGAGTCTCGCCAGGCCAGCTCTCCCGTCGGTGTAGCTAACCCCCCTCACGGGGCCAAAGCATGTCAACGGGAGAAGCTCTCCCCTCCACACAGCACTGCCTACAGCCGGGGGCAGGTGGGTGTAACTACGTCAGTCGGCGAGGTGCTTTCACACCCCTGCACACTGTAGTTACACCGATACAGACCTTGTTCTGCACCTTTCCAGAGCCATGGGCTCTCCGCAGCATTTGCACTGACGCCAGGCAGCCCTTTTGAAACAAGGGATCAGTTAGTCACCGTGTTACACAGCCTGGAAGTCCTCGGGTTAGCACTAGGCTAGGACCTCGTCCACACTAGCCACAGCCAGGCTGCAGTCCCCTCCTGTGTGTCCCAGGGGAGAGGCCAGTGTCTCTGTTAAAGAAATGCCCCGGCCCAGCCTGGGTCGGCCGATGCAGACTCGGGTTCTGGGACTCGCTGATGGGGGAGGGAAGCCTCCTTTTTCTCAGGGCTTAGTTGTGACATGGAAGCTTCTTGGCCACTGGGGTTTCCATTGTCTCTTCTGGCTCCTCCGTGCGCTTGTGTAGCCTGTATTCGGTATAGAAATGTCTCCGGTCCCCAACCGGGCAGCCGTGTGAGACTCACTCCTTGTTCCTGCCTTTTACAATCTCACAGCAGGACAAACCCAGCAGGCAATGGAGATACAGTCGGAAGCGTAACACTATTAGCAGAATGCCCACGTCCATCGCAGGCTCTCAGAGCCCTTCTTCAGATCTTAAAAACAGCCAGACCGGGTCAGGCCAAAGGGCCATCCAGCCCACAGTCCTGTCTGCTGCCAGTGGCCAAGGCCAGGTGCCCCATGGGGAGTGAACAGAACAGGGAATCATCCAGTGATCCCTCCCCGATAGCCCATTCCCAGCTTTTGACAAACATGCTACAGACACCATCCCTGCCCGGCCTGGCTCATAGCCATAGATGGACCTGTCCACAATGAATTTATCTAGCTCTCTTTTGAACCCTGTTAAAGTCCTGGTCTTCGCAACATCCTCTGGCAAGGAGTTCCACAGGTTGACTGTGTGTTGTGAGAAGAAAAACTTCCTTTTGTTTGTTTTAAACTTCTGTATATTTCATTTGGTGACCCTAGTTCTTGTGTAATGTCCCTTACTGTATCCTCCATGACACATGCTCTCCTTTACAAGCTTTGATTTCTCTTAATCTTCCTTAGTTTTTAGCAGGGCTTAATGTGCCATATGAAATTCCCTCTCCTGCTTAAAATAGTTCTTGGTGCGTGTTATGGTACCGATGCTGCCCCAGATACCTCGTAGAGAAGAGCGGGGCATCTGGCTTCATTAAGGCCTAGCAGGGGGGGTCTGTGGTCAGGGCTGTGTCTGGGCACCAAGGGGCACTGTTCTGCCGGGAGGCGGGCACCTGCCCTTGGCTGGCTTTTTGCAGCTGGCGCTGGCCGCTCTGGCTGGCGGGTCCCGTCTCTGTGCTGCCAACCGTGTCCTTCTGCCGCAGGTGGAGAAGCGCCTGGAGCTGGTGAAGCAGGTGTCCCACAGCACCCACAAGAAGCTGACGGCCTGCCTGCAGGGGCAGCAAGGCGTGGATGCCGACAAGCGCTCCGTGAGTGGCGCGGGGGAGAGGCGGGGCTGCGGGCCCCGGAGGATATGCGGGGTCGTGCCAGGGCGCAGGCCGGGAGAGGAGGCCGTAGCGAAGTGCAGCGCCGTGGGCGAATACAGCACCCTGCGCGCAGTTCTGTGGCTTCCGCTTGGGGCCGGGGGGCCTGAGGCCAGGTCTGCCCATTGGGCGCCGGTCTGTGAGATCATCTGCCCGCCTGGGTGTGAGTTCCCACCGCGCTCTGCCGGCGGGCCAAGCTGCAACCCCCACACCG